CTGGTGCCCCCCCGCCGTTGCCCCCCCCCCCTCCTGCTCCCCACCTCCTGCTCCCCCCTCCCCTCCCCTCCCTGGGGCCGCGCTCGCCTCAGCCGCCGCTGCCCGCCGCCGCCGCGGGCGCCCCAATCCCGGGGGGATGCCCGCCGGCGCGCGCAGGGGCCGTGCCCGAGGAGAGCGCCCGGCCCCTCTGCGGGGCCCGCCGGTCCTGCGACGGTCCCGGCAGGGAGGGGTGCTGCTGATGGGAGCGCTCGGAGGATCGACAATTTGGCATCGCTCGGACGTGTGCATGTTTGCTCGGCGAGGAGCCACGAGAACCATCCTGGACCATCGAGGAAAAGAAACACGCACGGAGCCGGAAAATGCACGGGAAATGGACGTCCGAGCGACGGCAAGACAAGCGCGTTCCGCCACTCCGGGGGCGGAAAAGAGGGGGGTGATGACTAGGGGGGGGGTCATGTCGTGGGCCAGGATATCTCCCCAGATGTCCTGGCGCCTCTTCTTGTTTTGTTACGTCCCTGGCCCCCCCCGCTGGGCCGCGCACGTGCCGCCGGTCATGATTTGCACCCCCCGTCTTGGACACCCCCCTCTTGGCCGCTCCCGACAAGCGCGTTCCGATACTCGCAGAGTCGCTACTCGCAAATGGCCTGGACTTGTCGCAGGGAAGGTGCGATAAATCACACCAAGGCAGACGTATGGCTTTTCGGACGTCTGCGAGTAGGCACTCTGCGAGTAGTGGAACGCGCTCGGCGAGAGGAGGAGGAGGAGGAGGAGGAGGAGGAGGAAGCAAACAAGATCACATGGGCATGAGCTCTCGGAGCTCCGCGCGGCTTTTTCGGATTGGCACCGGAGCCCCCGGATCGGCGTCTCTTGCGCTGCCCCTGGCGTGCCCCTCGCCCCAGGGAGGGGGGGGGGTCCAGCGCCGACCCAAGAAACCCGCGCGGGCCTCCGAACGTTCAGGAGGAGGAGGAGGAGGAGGAGGAGGAGGAGGAGGGGGAGGAGGAGGAGGAGGAGGAGGAGGAGGAGGAGGAGGAGGAGGAGGAGGAGGAGGCCTCCGAACGCTCAGGCTTCTGTTATTGCTCGCTCCGGTAATTCAGGAGGGGGGGGGTCGAGGTCGGGTAAAACGACGCGAGGATCGGGACAAAATCGGATCGGGATAACTCGAAATCTCTGAGAATCGGCGGGTTTGGAGGATGTATTGGGCGCCGCGGCCGCTCCAGAGCGTTCCGGAACGCTCTGAGAGCGCTCCGGAACGCTCTGGAGCGATTTATCCCGATCTTAGCCTGTTTTAACGGGGGGAGGACATCGGAGGAGGAAGGCCGCACATCAGAGGAGGGCTAGTCGACACTCGGGTAGTTGGCCTGCGATGGCCCCCCTCGTCGCCACGGCTGGACGCAGCTCGGAAGATCGGTGCGTGTGGACCCTGGGAGGGTTTGGGGGGTGGTTTTGAGCTGCTGTTGCCTCAACGCGCCCTGTCGGAGGCCCAGAGGTTGAAATCAACACCAGCATCGGCGGCTGCCTTTACTGAGGACTGACCCCGATGTCGGTGATGGGGCGAATATTTTGGTTTGTGGGAATCTTCCGGTTTGTGGGTGGGCACCAAAATCCACGATCATCCTCCCTCAGTGGAGGCAACCGGATGTGTTGGTGGGAGTCTAGTTTCCAGGCTTTCAATAATGGACGTTTGGATCGGCGGGACGATGGAGGGAGAAGAAGATCGCTGAAGCAAAGCCGCACAAACATATATTTTCGGATGTCCGCGCGGATTGTTTGGGTCGGTTTTGGGCCCCAATTGGGAGCGCCTCTTCCCAGCGCGTTGGGAAGGGTTTCAGCGCCGCCCCAGGAAATCTGCGCGGATCTGCGAAATTGTTTGTTACACATAACGTTTGTCAGCAACGGGTATTGCTTGTTTGGTTGAGGAACTTGTGAGATCCCGTCTGATATCACCCGAGTGGTTTCCCGCATGTGAATTACAGCTCTGTGTGTTGTACATGCGTTGTTCAGGGCTGTCTGCTGACAGTGTGCGAACATTCTCTCTTGTTATCCCTTCCCCGCGCGCGTCGTGGTCGCCTGCAGCTCTTTCGGCCCGAAGTCCTTGCGTGGCGTCCCTGGGCGGGCGCTTTACGCAGGCACTTGCCAAGTCCGCCATCGATGGTGCGGGGGCGTTGCTTTCCATGGTTTGCGAGACGCGCTCTACGAGCGGCTCGTAGGCCCAATTATTGCACCACTCGCGGACTACGTCGGCTCCTCTGCGGGGTCTTGGTGGTCCGTTCAGGCCGACCCGAGCGGCGGAGGGCACTGCCTTCTTGCGGTTTGGTGTGCGGCCTGCCCGACCGTGTGCCTGGGGTTTGCGGTGGACCTTAGTAGCGGGGTAACTCCTCTGCTGCTCTCTTCGGTAGTGGCCCTGCTGGTGACCATTGCCGTCTGCAGCCTCTGCGGGGGCCGCTGCAACCGGGGACCTTATGGCCCGCTGGCCGGGGTCATTGGGCTTCCTTCGCGCGCGGGTTGCCATCGGAGCCTTTGTCGGGCCTAGTTGCGGCCCGCAGCGCGCCCTGGCCTACGGCCCAGGACTGCGGGCCGAGGGGCGCGCGCGGGCATTGTCGCGGGGCCCAGACGCTGCACCCCCCCGCGGTAAGCCTGGCCAGCGGTCTGCGAGCGGCCTGTTGTCGGCAGCCATGGCGGCCGACGTCTCGGCGTCGGGGGGATTCGCCATCCCCGATGGGCCTATCTAGCCCGACCCCTACTCGTTCACGCCACCGTCAGTTTCGCGGTGCGACCGCTGGCGGCTGGGCGAGGGCGAGGTGGGCTACGCCGCGATCCCCCTGGCCACTCGGCCTGTGGCCACCATGTCGGCGTCGCCTTGGTCTTCCCGCTCAGCCGACCGTCTCAGCCTGGCGGAGGCGGAAGGATTCGCAGGGCTGGTGGGCCCCTTCCAGGTGGTCGACGTGCCCATGCTCGTCTCCGAGATGGATCTGGAGGCTCTCGCCCCTCTGGACGAGGGAGACGCCGACGGGCCGACTCCGCCCAGGTCAGCTCGTGGGCGCGCGCATTGGCCGCGCCCTTCAGGTGCATTTGGCCCGCGCAACGGCCGCGCGGCAACCCGCGGCGCTGCGCCCGTCGGCGGGGGAGAGGCGCCCTCAGGCACGGAGAGGGCTACGCCCCGCCAGCGAGCCCGCGGACGAGTTCGCGGGGGGCGAGCCAGAGGACGACGCCGAAGTCGAGGAAAGCCCTCCTCTCCCTGCTCGAGCACCGCCGCCGCCAGCGACGCCTCCTGCGCCGCCGCGGCGCCGTCTCGGCGCGCAGCCGACGCCTTGGGCGAGCGAGGCCCGCCAACGGGCGGGCGGGGCCATCGCCGCGGCTCCGGGCGAGAGGGTGCCGATGGCGCGCGCAGATGTCCAGCCAGAGATCCAGCGGCTGACGACCGCGGACGCGCTCCAGCCCGCGGCCCCACGCCCAGGCGCCGCAGTTCTTCGCGGGCGAGGCGGCGCGCGCGGGCGCCCCTCTGGAGGGCCTGCAGGCGACGCCGGCGCAGTCGCCCCCCCCCCCCCGGCTCCCGCGGCGCGCCCGCGGCCGCGCCGCCAGAGCGCGCGCCCGCCGCTCCGCCACCCTCGGCGCCGCCGCCGCCCCCTTCCCCCCCAGGCCCTGCCACGTCCGACGGATCGGCGGCGGCGCAGCACGGGCAGGAGGTTCGCCCAGCGCTGAAGGCGAACCTTGCACGGACCCAGAGGGCGGGGCCGTCTGCGATCACCCCTGCGGCAATGTCCCAGTATTTTCGCGAGCGCGGCCTTCTAGGGGCCCGCCCGGCGACGCGCGGGATTCTCACCAATTTCGGTTCAGCGCGGAGCTGCGGCGCGCGTCCGAGAGCGGGGGTGCGGACAGGGCGGAGACCCCGCTGATTTACCAGCGCATGTTCCTCGATCAACTGGCAGGGTGCCACGGTTATTTGGAAGCCTCTCGGCACCCTGCGGGGCCGGCGTTTTTTCCCGCGCGGGCGACCCGCTTCCGCGCGGAGAGGGGGGGGGGGGGGGGCAGCTGCCGTTCTCTCCGCCGGCGGGCCCCCGCTGGCAGTCAGCGCGGGGCGCGCGAAGGAGATGGCGCTCTTCCGCTCGCGCCCGGACGCCGAGTAGACGGCGGGGCAGGCGATTGCACCGCCGCCGCCCGCGCGGCCCGGGCCCCCCCCGAAGGCAGAGCCCAAGGGGGGGGGGCCCTCTTCAAAAGGCCCCCCGAGAACGCCAGCGGGCCCAGCGGGGGCGCCCGCGCATTTTGCGCGCGGCGGTCGAGGGCCCGGGCCGCGACGGGCCGAGGAACTGGACGCCGCTGGGTGGGGCTGCCCATCGCGCCCGGGCTGAGCGGAGTCGCGGCCGTAATGAATTTTCTACTCCAGCGATGCTGCGTATGAATGCAGTTGCTACTCCAGCGATGCCGTTGCCGCCCTGGCAGGGAGATGCGCGTTCCGCGGTCGCGGCTCTCGCTCCGCTTCGGGCCCCCCCTCCTTCGCGCCCTGGCGATTTCGACGCTGGGCTGACGCCGGGCGATTCGGCCGCCGCCCCCGCCGCTGCTTAGGTCGCGCCCTTTGTCGTTGACCTCTCTGCCCCATTGCGTTTGTTTGCGGGCTTGAACGTCGACGTCGCCCGCAGGGCCGCTGCGCGGGCCCAGGTGGGGCACGGGGCCAGGTGTCATGGCTTGTTTTTCCCGCCCATCCCTACGCGCGCCCAGTTCGGCACCCTCCTGCCCCCGGTCGCCGGCCGCCCTCCAGCCCCCACTCCGGAGCCCCCCGCGCCATAGGCGCCGGGTCGGTCTCGGGGGCATTCGCGGCTGAAGCGCGCCGCGCGCGCTGGCGCTGCGCGCCGTGATTGCGCTCAACCGGCTGAGTCCGGGGAAGCCCAGCCTCGCGCCCCGAGGGTCGCGCGCGCAACGGTATCACCTCGCCGGGAGGGCGCGCAGAGCCGCGCTGAGCTGCTCCTCGCGATCGCAGTTCCCCTTGCCCGCGGCGGGAAAGGCGACTTAGGGCGGGCGTTCGCGAAGTTCGGTTCCGCCGAGGTCTCGCTCCGTGGCCTGGCCACCCGCGGTGCAACTCTGGAGGCTTCCTTCTCCTTCTCTTCCCTCGTGCCTGCCCCCGCGCGGGCGTGCCCGAGCAGCGCTTCCGTCGCCAGCTCGCCGGCCACTGCGGCGGCTCGGGGCTTCGCCCGCGCCGAGCTTTTCGACCGCGGGTCGGGGCGCCCCGCGTCAAATGGGAT